CGAGTGGATGAAGAAGCAGCTGAACGACAAGGCAAAGCACATTGCTGGCAGGCTCAATGACATGCTGACGACCGGTGTCTCGCTTCAGGCCCTCCTCACGGCCATGCAGTACGTGCCTAGCCTCATCAACCACCTCTACACGCTGCCCCCAAGTCTCACGTCGGGCTTGTCCGAGCTCTTGAACCGTGCTTGCAAGGACACCTTTGTCAAAGCCTTTTTTGCCAAGGTAAACCTGTCTGCACCGGCTGGAGCTGAAGGTCATGACGTTACGCTGGAACAGCTCCTTGAGGCTCGCCTCTTCACACGGGCCAACACCGGGGGCTTTGGCCTGCACGACTTGATTGAGCGCGGTCCGGTGGCTTATGTCTGCAACATGGCCAAGCTGGCCACTCACTACCCTCGGGTCTACGATCGACTTTTGGAGGATGAATCGAGGGCTGCTGACTTTGAGGCCCACGTGCAGCGAGCCGGCTTCCAGATGGCCACGGTCAAGGACGCGGGGACTCAGCGACCAGCTGAGATCATTGCCCTCCGCTCCAAGGCGGCACTGGACGACCTGATGGCCAAGTGCGCGCTGGACCTGCAGCAGGCATATCTGGCCTCACGTGAGTGGGGCGTCAGCACTGTCTTGACCATGCGGGGTCGGGACAAGTTGCGTCGCTTGAGCGACACGACCTTTGCCATTGCGGTCGTGTCCATGATGGGTTTTATTAGAGGCACAATCTGAGACGGTATACTTTACCACGTTGTGTGTCCTCTGGTACTTGATGTTGTCCCACCTTGTTGTGTAACATCTTGCTGTACCATCTTGGTGTATCATCTTGTTGTGGCATCTGTTGGTCCCAACAGATTGCTGATATCGCTTCCACCTGTCTTCAGTGTGATAGTCCATTCTCTGTCTCCACTGTGTGTGTGTGTTTCCACCTGCTATAAATGGGAGCGATCTCCCTGGATCGGTACCATTTTCCTTCTTGACCTCGGTCGTTCCACTTCCCTCCTTCTGTCTTGTTCTGTCGCCTTGCTTCAATCC